TTCTTTCCACTGCACCTCGTGTGACCTCTGAGCCAGGACTGAGAGGCAATTTGGAGCAGCCCATCAAAACCCCCTGAACCCTGAGGCAAAAAAGACACAAGAAGGGCCCCATTCCAGGACGTCACTTAAGACGTGCAAGGGCTCCTGCAGTCCGTGCCCGGCCAAGTCATTTCAAGGCTTCCTGGGGATGAAATGTGAGAGAAGATAAACTTTGCTTTCATCTTTAAAAACATCAAAAAATAAATAACATCAAAACGCTGGCTGGAGAAGGAGGGCTCCAAGGCGCATACATAAGTAATGGTGCATGAATCAGTCCCAATGGATCGCTCAAGTCCCCCAGACTTCGTTTGGCGTAAAACTGGGGACGCGAGACGCACTCAAGGATTCCGGCCAGGAAGCAGGTCTCTCCTTCTGCAGCCCGTGGCCGAGCTTCCTTCCTTTCTCGGCCAAGAGGAAAAAGAGAAGGATCGATTTCTCAGCACCCTCTGCTCCACGAGCCTCCACTGAAGCCCTCTCACCGATCTCGGCCATTTTAGAAGTGCGAAAGCCAGGCCAATTATTTTGTTCTAGAGAACCCAGTAAGGTATTCTGCATCTTTCACTCATGATCTGAGGGGGATCTCCTCAGCTACTACATTCTTAGGAAGACACTTGACACCCACTAGGATGGCTATAATAAAAAATACGGACAATAGCAAATGTTGGCAAGGATATGCAGAAACGAGAACCCTCATACATTGCTGGCGAGCATGTAAAATAGCGCAACCACTGCAGAAACACTCTGGAGTTCCTCGAAAGGTTAAACGCAGAGTTACCGTGTGACCCAGGGATCCCACTGCTAGGTATACACCCAAGAGAAATGCAAACTTATGTCCACACAAACACTTGTACGCTAATGTTCATAGCGGCACTTTTCCTGATAGGCAAACAGCGGAAACCAAATGTCCATCAACCAACGGACGGATAAACGAAATGTGTATATATCCACACAGTGGAATAGGATTTGGTAATAAAAAGGAATTACCGATAGATGCTACAAAATGGGTGAATCTTGAAAATACCACGCTAAGTGAAGGAAGGCAAACACAAACTACGATCCCGTTTCTGTGAAATGGTTAGGACAGGCAAATCCATAGACAGGAAGCAGATCGAGGGTTGCAGGGCTCAGGGGAAAGGGGAAATTGGCAAGCGACTGCTCATTGGGGCAGGGCTTCCTTTTGAAGTGATGAAAACGTTCTGGAATTAGGGGGCGATGGTTGCACAACCCTGTGAATACACTAGGGAAAAAAATCACAAAGGTACAAAAACAAATTCTTAGAAGGACACTGTTTATTGAGGTTGGCGTGCCGGAGCTGAGCTAAGTTCCTCTAGGTAGCCCTCACTGCGGGACCGCGAGGCTGGTGGTTAACTAGTCCTACGGTCGAGGAAATCAAAGTCCACATAGAATCCAAGACTTGCCCAACATCCCCCGGCTTTAAGAAATAAATGAATTCATTCTGTCTCAGTCTACCACCGTCTCTCTCCAGTACTGTGCAAGGCTGCAGCCTTATTTAGACCATTCCCAGCCATGCCACGCTCAGGAACCTCCAGTTCCTAATCTGTAATTGTGGGGACCTCTGTATGCCACCCTTCCGGAGGCTTAACTGTACGGTTCAAGCTAGTGGACCAACTTCCTGTTTCCAGAATGGTGGCTGGGTCCTCAATGCATGGCTGTGCAAGTTTGCCAGAGGTTTGTAACTGCGTGTTTTAGGTTCCTGTGTGGAGGGAAGCTCCCTGAGGTAAAGGATTGAGAGGCTTAACAGGGCAGAAGGGTACCCAGTCCCAAGGGAATCCACAGAACCCTCCGGAAGGCCCCATCTCTCCACCCCACTCTATCCTCCCCACCCTGCCTGACCCCACCACCAGCTACTTTCCGAGGCAGCCTCTTGACTACACCCTTCCCAGTTGGAGATGGCGGGCCCAGGGACGACCCACCTCTCACGGAGGTGTCCGAGACTTTTGTTTCTTTGTAAATGAACTGATCTCACATCATGATGGCAATCACACTGTGGGTCAACTAATTTCCATTGATTTCCTTGGGTCTGGTGGGGGGCGGTGGGGGGGGGGGGGGGGGGGGGCGGGGAGGACCAGAAGCTCCAGGATTCCTAGCATACCCTGCTTCCATCTGTTTATTTGGGGAAGGGCTCAAAAAAAGAAGTATTTCTCATCCTTCTCATGGACCATTCTGCCATCTTTCCCTCGATGACAAATCTCTCGAAATAATTCAAAAATCAAAATGGCCAACAGCCAGTATGAGATTCGAATCTCCACTGTCAACTAAAAAGCCATAAACTGCCCCTTTAGTCCCAAAGGCATAAAATGCACACCATTGATCTTCACAGAGAAGGACTCTTACGGATGCAGCACCCAGCTTCAAACACGCATGCCGCACCAGTAAGTTAGCCCTCAGCCCGGGCCAAAGGGCCCCCCCCCCCACCCCCGTGACAATGCCCAGTGGGCTGCAGAATAATCCTCCTGTACACACGTAATTAAAAGCTGCTTCCAATTAGTTTCTGAAGTCCCATTCTCTTGGGTGGGATTACAACTCTGCTCTGCTGCTGATCGATGGTGGGGAGCACGGGAGATTGGCAAACGCAGAACCAGGCCGGTAGGCCACCCTCCAGATAGCCGGTAAGACCCTCGGTCCACTAATGGCCTCAAACACAATGAAGGCCCCAAACACGGCACTTTTCCACCATAAGGCTCCGAGAGCATGGCTGAAGTTTGGGAGAAGTCAGACTAGTTTTGTCTCCCTTTCCTGCTACGGAGGCTGGCAGGCAGGTTTAGTAATGAGAGCTTGAGTCCTAGAATTTGCACGTTATTAGCAGGAAGAACACCATTTCCCTCTTCAGATTCTTGGTGGCATGGAAATAGGTCAAATCATTTTAAGATTTGTTCAGGCTATCTTTTTGAAATGCTGAAGCAAACTCTCCTCTCCGTACATCATGGGGAAGCCAGCCTAAGAGGTTTCAAGGTCCCTCCCCAGGGTCCCTATCTTCTCAATACGTCTTTCAGCACCTGTCATCCTTACAACACCACGTCCCTGTTTGCAAAGCTCTCACCCATGCCATCCCCCGTTTGCTCTTCTGGGAGAAACTAGGGCCCACAAAGCTACAAGGACATCTTTGGGGCCCTAAGAAGCAACAGAGCCAGAACATAAACCAACTTCCCCTGATTTTCCACGGGGTCCACCGGTCTCAGGGTCCCAGGTTCTGCTGGTCTCAGCCAACCCCTCTGATAATTCATCACCGCTTTGTAGCCAACAACGAGCCTTCCCGGCTCTGGCTTTACGTGCAATCCCACCGAACAGCACCGAGTCGACACCCCTCCAAGCACAGGAAACCATTTGGTGAGACAAGAGTATTAAAAAAATAAGCTGCGTGACATTTATTTTGTCTTGTTAACATTAATATCTGTAGAAACATTTTTATTGTCAGTATAAAAATTAACAGGCTTTATTAAATACTTTTCTCCAATTCCGTAACAAATAGAATCAGTGTAATCTGCATTCATGTTGCATGGTTATAGCAAAGTGAGTAGGTGTTTCCAAAGCAAAACACGATACTTGAAGACAGAACCAACAACACGGCGACATCGTGTCTGACACGGGTATCAGGCTGGATCTTTCCGCGAGGTCCTGCCAGAACGATACGGAAGCAATCCCTTAAAAAGATGGAAGTATCCCCCAAACTATCAGCAGAACAACTCAATGTTCAATTTCTACGATGAGATGTTAAGACTCTAAAAGGCTGCTCTAACGCCAATGAATCTGGAAGCCATTATCAAAATTCACCGAAGAGAATACAGGCTAATCTGATTAACGTGCGACTCGGGCAGAAGTCCAGCTGCCGGAGAGAAGTACATTCTGCTATCAGCTCGACTAAGGTCCATCCTTGAGGGATGGATTAAGGCATCTTTTTAAGAGAGCGCTGGTACCATTTGTCTTGGGAAGTCCAGTTACATGATCCACGGGCCCAGTGACAGGGCTGCACAGCAAAACAAAATACTTTCCTATTAATGGGGTTCGCTTACTATCGGCATTTTGGTGGTTTAAGAACAATCATCTGACAGCAGAGTTTGAACAAATAAATCAAAACTTCATTTTCCCCAAATTAGTCATATTCGGTAAATATTTCTCTTGTCAGAGAATCTGACAACTAGTTAAGTCCAAGCAAGAGATTAACTAGTCCGATGCGCTGCCTGCATAGAAATGCCACTTAAATTACGAAGAAACAAAAACACAAAACTATAAATGATTAATTGTTTTGTATATTACCAATTCATTAATAAATTAATGCTATACCATTTTCCCTGAAAGCAAAAGTATCCTTCCACCTCTGCTCGGTGAAAATTAAGAAATTCTGTGTAAGGACAGCATTTATTTAGCAAATAGCTATTAAAAAAAAGAGACCAATTTTTCTAGGTGCATTGGGACATCCATTTAAAATCAATACAAAAAATAATTCCTTGTAAATATATAATATATATTTATACATAATTTGAATATATTTACATACACCCAGCACCTATATACTGCAATTGTGCTCTGTAAGTGTGTGCTGACATATATTTTCTCCAATTATTACAAAATTCACAAGGCAGGCAGAACATACGTTTGCCTCGAGTCCAACTGGTCCACAGCCAGTACCCACAGTGGGTCATGGGCGCGTGGTGGCCCATGGACAAGTCGATTGCCCCAGAAACATTCTTCTTCTCCTGGTGAAGGTTACAAGTTTCCAACTGTATACACTCTTTACACATGTGCTGATTACTTTTCTAATTATTTACTCCTCTGATCCATATATACAAGTGGAGACAGCAAGCTCCCGGGGGCGTGGCCTCCCTGCTCAGCGTGGCTAGGCTCTCGGTGCCGTCCTGTCTGGGGACAGAAGGACAAGCCCGTTCATGTTTTAACACTGCCGTTTACATGTGGATACTGAGGAAGGCATGGTTCGTAAGGCATGGGGTCCGGAGAGAAAACAGAATCGTCTCCTGAAGAACAAGAACTCCTTGTGTCAGGGTAACTAGGTGAATACTGTTCGAGAGGCTGACTGAGGTCCAAGTATTCCTGAAAGAAGGGAAGAGAGACGTTTTATTTCATCTTGGGTCAGGATAACAAGGTGAATACGGTTCGAGAGGTTGACTGAGGTCCAAGTATTCCTGAAAGAAGGGAAGAGAAGACTTTTATTTCACACGCAGTCTCTCGAAACGCGATAGCGGGGACAGGACAGGGGCGCCCCTTGAAGATTCCAGAGGTCCAGCCCCCACCCGGGTCCCACCAAGACCTCCTCGAGACCCCAACTAGGTTTACTCCAGGCTGCCCTCGACTTTTCTCTCACAACCCATCGTGACTGAACTATGGGCAAGCAGGGAACGTCCAAACCCAGCTGATAAGAAGGAGGTGCCGACCGGTCAATTCCACTCGCACAGACCCCAGGCGAGCGGCTGGCTATGTGCCTCCTCGAGAGAGAGCACCCGGGTCAAATTCGAGCCCCGGCAAAATGACAAAAACATAATGTGCTGTGGACTCCTGGGACCCCTTTAAATAGCTGAGACCATGAATATTTATTTTACGAATTACATTTCACTACTGCAGTTTCTAGGATCATTTAAGGGGAATATGTCTCCCTACCGCGGGTAATTTCACAGATGTAATCATCACTCTCAGAAGCCCTCTGAGTTGAAAATGTAAACAGGTTCAGAAAAGGCTCGGATAGACTCGTGCATGTTCAATCCATAATGGACTGTTAAAGAAAAGTTTGAAATTCAAAAAGGGCTCTTCTGAGCTCCCCGGGCGACCCAGGATAACATTTCCTCCGACTTATGGTAGGCTCTGAGTCCACTGCCTGGTCTTGTATGGCCCATGAGCAAAAAACGGCTTTTTAACATTTTTCAATGGTGGGCCGCCCCCCCCCCGGTGGAAATCAAAAGACGAATAGTATCTCATAGCATTAAAATGATATAAAATGACATAAAATTCACCTAAAATTTCAATGTTAGGGTCCATCAAGTTTTATCCGGAAGACAGACGCTCATTTACGCATCGTCCGTAAGTACTTTCTCACCCTGGTGGTAGGACTGAATATTGCCAACGGAGACCGTCTGGCTCACAATGATGACAATATTTGCTATCTGGCCCTTTACTGACGAGGTTTGCAGACCCCCGTTCTACGAACTATGGGAAGATTTCTAAACGGGGAAACAGCCGGGCCTCGCTGCCCCCGCTGGGCTCACACACTGGGGCCGTTCTGCTCACAAAAAGTGCAGACCACAGCACAACCAGCCCCCGTGTTATCAGAAAAGAGCCCGCAGAATGTTGGCGACTATACATTTTAAAAGACAAAAAAAAAAATTTTTAAATTAAAAAAAAAAAATAAACTGCTATAATTCATCACCAGGGTTGGCAAGAAAAGAACCCCCATCCGAGAGTGGGGGATGTGTAAGTTCCAACAGCATCAGCATTAACCGCACAACTGGAAACAAACACACCCACCACATCAAAAGAGAACTTTTTGCTTACAATGATAAAAATGAAATTTTGTCCTAAATGGAACCATTTTTCTCCAGCATATGGTAACGATTTTCAGAAGGAAAGAAACTTCGATTTTTATATCCGTTAGACAATATGGCATTCTGCTTCATTTTAGGATGCTAGATGTAAATTTCGGCATGAATGGGCCCGCTTTAAATATAAATATATAAATGAAGTAGCACGGAGCATGGACGCAGGACCATTAAAATGGAACATTAGTGCTGCCCCAGTTGCTACATGCAGCCATAAATGTTCAGATCTGATAGGGAAAAAAACAGGAATATCAGTGGAGTCCAAGTCTAGGGTTAAAGGAACTTACACTAGAAACAACAATTTTGGCAGGAGAAGAAAGTTGCTTTTTTTTCCCCCCCTTGAACTATTCCTTTCCTTTCAACTTCTGAAGGTCAGCTGTATTCATTTAAATGCAATCTCTCCTTTTATCAGCTACAGTTAGACGCACAAGATAATGTTGCTGGCTTAAGGCTTCGGATTATTTCTTTTTTGAAAAAAATCATTCCCATACTATTAAACGTATTATTTAAAAATACGTTAAACGTATCATTTTTATTTCAGCAATTTTAAGCTTTCGTTGCTGTTGGTAAGACAACTGTGGGTTTGGGGGAGGTTTTTTTCCTCGTTCGGAGGGAAGACTGCTCTCTGTACTCTCACTGAATGTCTCCAATTCGTTCATGAACAGTTTTTTCGTGGGGGGTTTTCTGGCCTTGCTGGGTTTTATGCTCTCTCCTGCTCAGATCATACATTTTCCACAACCATACAGATCACTCTCTGTCTGCATGCTGAAGCAGGCACTGCCCGGACTGGATTCGGACAGTGAGGGGTGTTTCTTTTACTGGCACAGACTAGAAATATTTTATAGAAAAAATATTTTGACAAAAAATACAAGTTTTCACTTAAGAAAAATTGCAAACCGAAGGGGCGCCTGGGTGGCTCAGTCGGTTAAGCATCCGCCTTCGGCTCAGGTCATGATCTCACGGTCCGTGAGTTCGAGCCCTGCGTCGGGCTCTGTGCTGACGGCTCAGAGCCTGGAGCCTGCTTTGGGTTCTGTGTCTCTCCATCTCTCGGCCCCTCCCCTGCCCATGCTCTGTGTCTCTCTGTCTCTCAATAATAAATAAACGTTAAAAAAATTAAAAAAAAAAAAAAATCACAAGTCGCCCGTTATAGGAAAACTGTGTGTGCATTCACACACCCGGGGATAGAGGCCACAGGCCATTGGCGGACAGGGTCACGGCGGACAGGGACAGGGGTGTGTGTTGTGCAGGAACTCAGATGGCAGTCCACTGCTTCCAAGGGAGCCCATCGGCGGCTCCTCCACTAACGACTAGGGTGCGGAGTCCAACTGGCCCACGCACCCTCCCATGCAAGCCCAAAGGCCGTCGCCGGACGTTTCTCCCCCCTCCCCCCTCTCCTACCCACCACCCCAGAGCCAGAGAGGCGCAGCCTCGCGGGGGGTCCGGTTGCGTGAGTCCGCTCTGAGAAAACTCAGGACTCAGGAGGCGCAGAGATTTTGACTCTGTCTGAGCCCCGTGGGGAAACGATCGACCACAGCGCAGCCTCCTGCGGGCGAGGTTGCGTTGAAAGCGCCGCACCGGCCTCCCAAGAAAGGGCGGCGGGCTCCTGGAAGGGGGGGGTTCTTACCTCATTGGTGGTGAGAGTGAGAATTCGGTCCAAGTCTTCCACCAACTGTTTGAACGTCGGCCTCTGTGAGGGCACGGCGTGCCAACAATCCCTCATCATCATATACCTGGGGAAACGGATTTCCTGGTGAATGCATTCTGTACGTACTAGGCGCCCGGCTAGAAGCCAGCTTTAAGAGGCGCTATGGAGACACGTCCGAAGTGATGACAATGGATCAGAACTTTCCAGATGAGAAGGCAGTTCTCTGCACTCCCCGCCCCCCCGCCCCCACCAAATTCACCTCTTGGTTCCTCTGAAACCAAGCGCTCTGAGCTACAAAAACATCACTTTACCCAAAATGTCTCAGAACAGTATCTATGCCATGAAGACAGACCTCTGTCGAGATGCCTTCACTGCCGGGTTCTGCGCTCCTGTGACGGTGACACCCCATGGGCATATCACACCTTCAAGGGCACTTTGGGACGTGGCAGGAAAAGCCTTATTATGGGACCAGGTCTCCAGTCTGTCCCCGGCAACCCCCTCCCGCCCCCACCCCCTGCCTGGACCAGAGCAACTACACGGAGAATCTTCTCTCTCACGCTTCGGGTTTTAATGACTGTCGAGGACAAAGCTTCCTCAGATTTTGTTTGTTTGTTTGTTTTAAATGAAGTCTGAAAACCACAACTTTAAGGTAAGGTTTTTACGAATTGATCTGCCATCACTGGGCTGCACGTTAACTTCCTGATTAACTCTTGGACAGGCCCAGGGTCCCAGGCCTTATCTTGATTATGGGTTTCGACAGACCCTCTATAGTAGAAAAAGCAATAGGAATGACAGGCAGCACAATAAATACCTTTATATAATATACTATAAAATGTGGCCATTCATCAGATGTCCACTGTGCAGTGAAAAGTACTCATGGGATTATGGATATAAAATCCCCATGAAACGATACACAATAGACCACAGTCTCTGGGACAATCACTCTTCTCAGTTAACCCTGGGGGGTTGGGAAGAGAGAGCCTCCTTTTCAAAGCACTGATTCTACTGCACAGGACACATGTCACAAACACAACATAATTCCACTTGAAGTGTGGGCTAGGTTTTTCTAGAAACCAGCTCATGGTTTTCCAGTCAGACCTGGGGCTCCAAGGGTGGCACCTGGACAAATTTTTAATTCTCTGTGCTAAACCGTGGGTGGGACACAGGTCACCAGACACGAGTCTGCTCCAAGGAAATGGGGGCCCATGTCAATCGTAAGGGCAATCTCCAGCGGTCACAAAGCTGTGGAAACACCCATTCCCCCTGGCTGTGCTGGAGGCCGGCGCACGCAGTGAAGAAAAGCTATCCTGGCCTTTAATCCCCCACTCCATGTGGGCAGCCCCACGGCTTTCCAGCTTGTATATGAGAAAAGGCCAGGCGTATCTCTCCCTGTCTCTCTGAGAGACGACAGGACATAGCACAGTGGTCCAGGAAGATCACTCTACAAAGGTAGGAGCCCTCGGCCCGCAAGCCTGATGCCCTCTGTGATTTAAAGCTCACTCCATACACGTCAACGTGCTTTCTTTGAGACAGTCATGGCTGTCAGTGTGGCTATCTACTGCAGTTCTGGGGTTGAGCCCAGAAAGTTCCAGCAGTAACTCTTCTTAGAGTATGTACAGAAAACCAGGGGCCTTAGAAAACCCGAAGTAAGTCAGGAGAAGGGTTCCTGGAATGGAGGGGGGCGGGTCGACACAGCGTCAAGAGAGACAATGGCTCTTACAGTTCATTGGTGCAGTTTGCGGGCTTGTCCATCCTGTGTCCTTCCTTCAGCAGCTTAAAAAGTTCCTCCACCGGAATCCCTGGGTAGGGTGAACCTCCCAAAGTGAAGATCTCCCACATTAACACCCCGAAGGACCAACTGCAAAGGAGAGAGAAAACACGGTTATTACTAACCCACCTGAATCGCAAAAACCCTCAACGTGCCCGGTTAAGAAAATAAACACCCACTCACTTCTCATGTTCAAAGACAAATGACCCGAGCCCTCCTGAAGTTCATCCTACATGTTCCTTCCTGCCCCGAAGGAGCATCCCCAAGTGATGATGATGTGAGGGATGTTCTCAAGGAATTTTCCATCAACAGACAACACGCGAGTGATGGTAAACCATCACTTTTTTTTTGTTTTTTTCTTTTTGGTGGAGCTTTGGGGTGGTTGGGTTTTGATTCCATCCCTCTCAAGTGAAGTTGTTCATGTTAAATGCGGTGTTCGCATGTGAGGATCTCGACTCGGAAGCGGCAAAGCTCTTCATGCTGCCGTCCGGCTCTTCCGTCAGCCCATGTGCCTGACCCCCCAGCAGGAGCAGTTGACAAAATAAGGCCAGCAAGCCAATGCTGGAGGTAACAGCTGCCCAGCGCAGCCAGTGGGGCATCTGAGGGCACAAACGGTTCCTGATTTACTAAGGTCATGAAAGGAAGTTAGCATCAGACTGGGGTTAGGATGCAGGAATCCTGGGGTGTCTGGGTGGCTCAGGTGGTGAAGCGCCTGGTTCTTGATTTCAGCTCAGGTCATGATCTCGCAGTTCATGAGATTTAGCCCCCCATCAGGCTCCAGGCTGCCGGCTCGGAGACTGCTTGGGATTTTCGCTCTCTCTCTCTCTTTCTGCTCCTCCCCCTCTCTCTTGCTCGCTCTCAAAATACATAAACATTTTTAAAGAAAATAAAGGGGAGGGGGGCGCCTGGGTGGCTCAGTCGGTTAAGCCTCTGACTTCAGCTCAGGTCACGATCTCACCGTTCCTGAGTTCGAGCCCCACATGGGGCTCTGTGCTGACAGCTCAGAGCCTGGAGGCTGCTTCAGATTCTGTGTCTCCCTCTCTCTCTCTGCCCCTCCCCTGCTTGTGCTCGCTCTCTCTCTCTCTCTCTCTCTTTCTCTCGCTCTCAAAACTAAAGAAACATTAAAAAAAAAACTTGAAAAAAAAAAAAAAAAAAGGTTGGAGGAATCCTAGGCCCGAGACGAGTTTCCCACAAGAGAATCTGAAAACAACTCGCAAGGTACCATGTGCACCTGACCTTGCGGAGACCCACGGCTGGACTTTCTGGGCCCCCTTCAGGATGTTGACAATTCCTGGCATAATCGAGCTGAGATTCCTGCATTTACCTTTGTCACTGTGGCTCTGGAAACACACCCCTACTGACTCTATCCGGAGGAGTTTCAGGTTTGGGGTGAGAAACGAAAACTCTCCCCGGTTCTGTGCAGAGCAAGAGTGGCACCCCCACGCAGGCAGCTGGCTCCCTGCAAACACGGGCCCCCGGCACCTTCTTTCTGGGACTGTGCTGGCAGGGAATCAACACCCACCCCGGGGGTCCTCCTGCTCCCACGAATAAAAACAACTCCACTGATTCCAGCTTTTTATTTTGGGCGAATTCTAGACTCACGGGACCTCGGGGAAAACAGTACCGAGAGATGCTCTGTAACCTTCCACCCAGCGTCCCACCACGGGAACATCGTTCGACCTCGTTTCCAAACCTAAAAGTCGACAACATCAGTTGGGAGCCTGACCCTGACAGTACTTTTAGGTGTTACCATCACGGACATAGTATAGAATGTTCACTCTGTTTCTCTAACGTTCTCAAGGGTGCTAAGACAAGGTCTGATTTTTTTTTTCAAAGGGTACACAGAGCCATCAGGCCCCGTGGAAATCACCAGAGCAGACCGTGCCCCACTCAGCGTTTCTCTTTCGGGGCAAAGCTAGGATTGGGGGGGCGGGGGGAGGGAGTATGGTAGATGACCATCGAGTAGGATAAGTTTCAAAATTCCTTCTTTCAGGGAGCAAAGAACATGCCACCAGTTTGGCAAATTCGATAGCGGCTTTGAGGCCGCACATCCGTGAATAAGTTGGGGGGCGGGGGGGCACTTCCGCTCTGGCCAGAGGTGGCTTTGCGGTGCGCCTCCCGTGTGCGCTTTGAAGCTGGGCAGATTAGTAACACGGCATTGGTCACCAGCCTACCATAAAATCCGTCCTTTCTAAGGCCGGCTCCTGCACCTTCCAGAAACGTGTGAGATACGGCAGGCACCAAAGACTCAAGAGAGGTGAACACGGTGTTTTTTGCAACGCAACCCAATGGCGAGAAGCCAGAGAAAAGGAGTTACTTACACGTCACTCTGGTGGGTGTACACTCGATCGAAAAGGGCTTCTGGAGCCATCCACTTGACTGGAAGTCGCCCCTGCAAGCGTGGGGAAAAAAATGTAAGAGCCACTCTCTTAAACCCAATTTACTTTAGCAAGCTCAGCAGGCTGTGCCTCACTGAAGAGCGGATGCTAATGATTTTCACTGGTCAGTCAGGAGAGCAGAAGGAATCCGCTCCAGCAGGGCCTGGATAGAACGTGCAAGGTGCAGATTTGGGCGCATGAATAAAATGCCATTTCTCTGGATTCTCATGACCATCTCTCTCCCTAGCACACAGACACATCCTGACCACCTTCTAGGCAAAAATTAACCTAGAAACTCCCAAGCTCTAGTCTTTGCTAGGGAAGTTCTTGACCCAAGAAGCTGCTGGTTATTCACCTTTACTAAAGGTATCTTAAATATAGCTTAAATTTACTTCTTGAGAAATTGGTCAAGAGTAAAGCAAAAGATGGGGTGCCTGAGTGGCTCGGTCGGTTAAGCGTCTGAGTTCAGCTCAGGTCATGATCCTGAGGTCTGTGAGTTCGAGCCCCACATCGGGCTCTGGGCTGACAGCTCAGAGTCTGGAGCCTGCTTCAGAATCTGTGTCTCCCTCTCTCTCTCTGCCATACCCCTGCTTGCTCGCTCGCTCGCTCTCTCTCAAAAATAAATAAACATTAAAAAAAAAAAGAGTAAAGCAAAAGAACAGGGATAAAGGGCAGAGGAATGAGCATCTATCATCTTTCATCTAGAACATTCCGTGCCACCCCCACGCCCCCCTTCCTTCCACCACATCGTTGTCACTGACTTACGTTTGTGGTCTTTTTGTAATAGTCTATATTGTTGATATCTCTGGCCAGTCCAAAGTCTGCTATTTTCATCACATTGTTTTCTGTTACCAAAACATTTCTGGCGGCTAAATCTCGATGAATGCACTGAAACCAAGAAAGAACTCATTTCAAAATGTTTCAAGAATAAAGAGAAAACATACTTCTTAGGATGCAGAGAGGAAATACATCATAAATCAAAAATTGGTTATTTCTTTTCTAATTAAAATAACTAGGGGCACCTGGGTGGCTC